ATATATATATATATATAAAAAATTTATTTTATATTTTCTATTTTATTTAATATTTTAGTAAGTTAATTTAAATTTAGCTATATTTTTATTATTTTTTAATTAGGAGAATGAATGAAAATGAACTAAAGATATTTTTAAAATATATTTTAATTAAAAGTCTATTTTTTGATGAATGATTAAATTAAAAGTATATTTTTAATGAATAATAAAATTTAAAATATATTTCAAACCTAAATTAATATAATTAATATGATCGAGAGTAATGATATAATATATTTATCTCTAAGAAATAAAAATATAATTTATTTAATATTTTAACATATAAAAGGTAAATAATGTCATATTTACATTTCTCAAGAAAAAAAATATAATTTATATTAATAACATTAAATTAAATAAATTATATTATATTTTAACATAAAATAAGAGAATAATATAATATTCATTATCTCTAGAGTGTGATACTTTATTTAAAAAATAAATAAATAGTTGGGATACATAATAATAAATAAGTTTTCTTTCTAGATTTTTTTTACTTCCTTTCAAAATAGTAACTTTTCTTACTAAATGAGGTTGATTGTATGAATTACATAGCATTGTTAAATCGATTTTGATACACACCATATATTTAGAGATATTATTTATCAAGATAATCTTTTAATAACTTTCTCAAGTATATTTCATGGTCATCTCATTCTTCTTTTCATAGGATTTAAAAAGCATGCATCTAATATTCTCATCGGTGTTTCTAGTGGTTTTATTTCTTTTAAGTATTATGGTATATGGGATAGAGGGTGTTGCATAGTTAAGCATCCTTCCTTCAAGAATTTGACTACAAGTTTAAAATCTCACTCAATAATGATGTCTTTTGTGAGACCTTTCTTTTTTATAAGGAAAAGACCAAAGTAAATACTCCATAATTCAACTTAAAGTACTATGCAATAGAGCCTAATAAAACTTCTTATATAATTCCTTATGACTTTTCCACAAACAACTTTTCAACCTAGGTAGCACCATCACAATTTGTCACGAGATAACCCTCTCTTATATTGAGTTGAATTAGTTAATAATCCGCCATGAGTTGTTTTGTAGAGAAGCATTTTTATATGTTCCAATCCTCTCAAGCGCCAAATAGGAAAGAAAAAGATTTTGATGCATAACTTAAGTATTTGTTAGCACTTTTTTATTTTATTATTTTTTTGAATGAAATGAAATAATATATTTTAATTTTATCCTTCTTATTTATTATGTAACATTTTTTTGGTTGAATTCTATATTTAAATAATTTTAATTAACTATAAGTTTTAATTTTTTAAATTAGTTTAATATAATATTTGTAATAAGATTTGAGTAAATAAATATATTTAATGAGTTTATTTTAGTAAAAGATATCTTTGTATTAAATATTTATATACTCAAGAATATATTATTGTAACCAAACACAAAAATCCTTAAGTTTTGAGAATCTTATATTAAAAATTTATTATTAAATAAAATATATTTATTATAAAATTATATATATATATATATATATATATATGTTAATTTATATTATATATATTGACGTATATATAAAAGTATAATATATAATTTAATTT